CCTTCTCTAAGTTTCAGGCACAACTTGAAAGCAACTCAGTGTATTGAATGGCTTCTTTCATATTCAGCCTCTGCTTCTTTGTGGTGGACCCCAGCATGATGCTGGAGCTGAATGTGTTCTTCTTTGAGTCTCAGTTGCGACATGAAAAGAGCTCTTCCAAATTGGGTTTCATACCTTGGAGAGGTTCTTTCAGGTTCACACACTCAGCCTCTGCTTTTTTGTGGAAGATCCCAAAATGATGTTGGGTTGAATATGTCCTTCTGCTCTATTTCTCTTTTAAGTTTCAGTTGCAATGTAAAAGGAGCTCTCCAAAGTACCAAAACCTATCCCCAAATTGGGTTTGTCATCCTGAATAGCCCTCTTCACATTCAGAGTCTGTCTCTTTGTGTTGGACTCCAAAATGATGTTGGAGTTGAAGGTGTCCTTCCGCTCTCCTTCTCTAAGTTTCAGTTGCAACTTGAAAAGAACTTTCCTAAGGTGCCGAAATGTCTTCTCAAATTGGGTTTGACACTCTGGGTAGCTTCTTTCATGTTCAGCCTCTACTTCTTCATGGAAGACCCCAAAATGACATTAGAGCTGAACGTGTCCTTTTGCTCTCCTCTGTGTTTTAGTTGGAAATTGAAAAGAGCTCTCAAGCTGCCGAAATCAATTCCCAAAGTGGGTTTGTGTTGGAACTCAACCACATCCTGCCCAAGTTTATAGTCCTCATCAAGGAAATATATTGTTGGGGTTCAGCCTGTGTGTGACCCTGACCCTGATTCTTTGATTGTATTTCCTGATGCCAATGTAGATGCCAATGTTGATTCTGAGGCCAATGTAGATGCTAATGCTGATGATGGGTTGAGTAGTAAAAATCCTACAGCCTTGGAGAGTGAAAGTCAAAGTTCCCATGAGAACATTCATTCCGATCCGAGCGAAGAAGTTTCACTCCCTTTTTCTCCCAGCTTTAGTTCCCCAGAGAATCTGACACCTGGTCGGCCTAATGAGGGAAGGAGGGGGCAGATTTGGCAGAGCAGGGGAGAAGCACAAAGTTTACGGAGGTCAGAAAGATTGAGAGAAATGCAAACAAAAGGCGTGTCTCATAATAGATTTCTCTCCTTTAAGAATGCCTGGTCTGAAGGCAGCTTCAGACCAGGCATCGTTCCAGTTTCAAGTGCAAGCCTGTGGAGGCCTCCTGATTCAAGTGGCTGTGTCTCTAGGAGTTTCTCAAGTTGTTCCAAGTATAGTTAGCTGGGGCTAACGGATTCCAGGATTCGTCAAGGGTACATTACCGTTTGTTGTGGATTTTTATGGACTTGTTCATGGACATTTCTTATTGCTGTTTTGCTGTGGTTCTCATTACCTCTGAGTCTTCCTTTGTTTTTATATTCATCTTTTCAAAATAAAAAGGATTGTTTTCCTGACATCAAGTGTGGTGGATTGTTGTCAAGAGGGTACAGTTTCCTGCTCTGGGTCGCAACATACATAAGCGGATGAGTTAGCTGGCAGGGAAAGCCCTTTTCCTGTTGCCCTCTGTGTCTGCCTCTCTCTCTCTTGTCTTTTCTTCTCTTCTCTCCTTTTACTTCTGTTTCTTAGACTGATACTTCTCAGGGACAAACTCTTTTATTCAATGTTTCCAGACTGCATGACAAGCCTCTGAGTCCTCCATCTGGAGAGAGACAAAACTTGTTCTATCTAAAACAGTGGTTCTCAACCTTGCTAATGCCGTGACCCCTTAATGCAGTTCCATATGTTGTGGTGATCCCCAACCATAATATTGTTTTCGTTGCTACTTGATACCTGTCATTTTACTACTGTTATAAATCATAATGTAAAAATCTGATAGGCAGGATATATTTTCATTCACTGGACTAAATTGAGCACAAATACCCAATATGCCCAAATGTGAATGCTAGTGGGGTTGAGGCGGGGGAGGGGGTTGATTTTATTTATTTATTTATTTATTTATTTATTTATTTATTTATTACTGTGCTTATATACCGCCGTTTCTCAGCC